TATACAGAGTGTGTGTGTTGTATTAGTGTATGCAGTGTGTGTTGTATTAGTGTATGCCGAGCGTGTGTGTGTTGTATTAGTGTATGCAGAGTGTGTTGTATTAGTGTATGCAGAGTGTGTGTTGTATTAGTGTATGCAGTGTGTGTTGTATTAGTGTATGCAGTGTATGTATGTTGTATTGTATTAGTGTATGCAGTGTGTGTGTGTTGTATTAGTGTATGCAGTGTGTGTTGTATTAGTGTATGAAATGTGTGTGTGTTGTATTAGTGTATGCCTTGTGTGTTGTATTAGTGTATGCAGTGTGTGTGTTGTATTAGTGTATGCAGTATGTGTGTTGTATTAGTGTATGCAGTGTGTGTGTGTTGTATTAGTGTATACAGAGTGTGTGTTGTATTAGTGTATGCAGTGTGTGTGTGTTGTATTAGTGTATACAGAGTGTGTGTTGTATTAGTGTATGCAGTGTGTGTTGTATTAGTGTATGCCGAGCGTGTGTGTGTTGTATTAGTTTATGCAGAGAGTGTGTTGTATTAGTGTATGCAGAGTGTGTGTTGTATTAGTGTATGCAGAGTGTGTGTTGTATTAGTGTATGCAGTGTGTGTTGTATTAGTGTATGCAGAGTGTGTTGTATTAGTGTATGCAGAGTGTGTGTTGTATTAGTGTATGCAGAGTGTGTTGAAATTAGTGTATGCAGTGTGTGTGGGTGTTGCATTGATGTATGCAGAGTGTGTGTTGTATTAGTGTATGCAGAGTGTGTGTGTTGTATTGGTGTATGCAGTGTGTTGTATTGGTGTATGCAGTGTGTTGTATTAGTGTATGCAGTGTGTTTGTATTAGTGTATGCAGTGTGTGTGTTGTATTAGTGTATGCAGTGTGTGTGTGTTGTATTAGTGTATGCAGTGTCTGTGTGTTGTATTGTATTAGTGTATGCAGTGTGTGTGTGTTGTATTAGTGTATGCAGTGTCTGTGTTGTATTAGTGTATGCAGTGTCTGTGTGTTGTATTGGTGTATGCAGTGTGTGTTGTATTAGTGTATGCAGTGTGTGTGTGTTGTATTAGTGTATGCAGTGTGTGTGTTGTATTAGTGTATGCAGTGTGTGTGTGTTGTATTAGTGTATGCAGTGTCTGTGTGTTGTATTGGTGTATGCAGTGTGTGTTGTATTAGTGTATGCAGTGTGTGTGTGTTGTATTAGTGTATGCAGTGTATTTGTGTTGTATTGGTGTATGCAGTGTGTGTTGTATTAGTGTATGTGTAATGGCACCCCCAGGCATAAAAGGGATTAAAAGCAGTTTAGGAGATATTCCCCTTCCAGATATACAGGGAGCTACCAAAGACACCAATCCGCCGAACAGGAAACCATATGAATGCAGGAAACAGCTGAACCGGAACCATGTGAATACCGTAAACAGCCGAATAGGAAAAAGCATACGAATAGGTTTACACTCCTAGCAGTCGAACTGGAAGAGCATACAATAAATCCCCCCCAAGAACGAGACAAAGCTCCGTGTTGAGGGTCAAGCAGGAACAGACAGAGCTGTGGGTTTATTGTTCTTATATACACATTAGTACCACCCACAGGGTTTTGGCAAACAACCAATAAACACATACAATACACTCAGACACTCCCACACAAAATCCTCCCCTCTGCCTGTGATACAATTACCTTACACAATGGGTTAATGTAATTATCACAGGCAGAGAAATACAGTTTTTCCACATTATTCATAACTTTAAAAGTATGCATCAGATTCACATAAAACTTACACTTTCAGAATCAGCATACTCCAAATACAAACATATGTCAAAATCATCCATGTCAAAATGGACCAATTGGTCCATTGGTTCAAAAGATAGATCGAAGTCCTTTGTGACAAAAGGAAGCATGGCTTTTCTGCCCAAAACCAGTTCCACAGAGTCTTCTATCCTGGAGATAATTAGAAGTAATCCAATTATCTCCAAGGCCAGAGGCAAAACTCCATTAAGCACATGGCAGTAAAAAGACAGTAAAATACAATAAAATACACAAGGTGACATTTATTACATAAAATACAGACATGCAACATATCCCCAGATAGCTTAGATCTGAGCGCACATTATTACTGAATGGCGCTCAGACCACACACATACAGTTCAATTGCCATGGAGCCAAAGTATTTTATTACACGAATAGGCTCCCTTGCATAGCTATCTGGGTTAAATTAGTTAATTCAGTAAATCCAAGAATCTACCGAACGCCAGGGCAGAAATACATGAATAGACCTTTCGGCATAGGGAAATAAAGTATTTAAATGCCAGTCCATAGTCAAAAGGCAGCAGGCAGGCAACCAGGCTCCTCCAATGCACAGTGGCGAGATTGGTCTCATCACACTGATCTAGGGTTATTCTAATTTCTGGCAAATCGAGTCTGGTGTTGTTATAAAAAATGATAAAAAAGAGAAACGAGAGAAAAATTGAGTAATTTACTCAGTAGTGTAGGATCCAAGCAGTGGTAACTAGGTGATGAAAGATGTATAATTAAATTCTTAACTGAGTCCATTAGGACTCAATGGTTTAAAGGTGGAAATCCATCTTGATTCCTGCCTTAGCAATTTGGGGTTGATGTCACCCCCTCTTGTGGTAAGCTTTTCAATGGCTTGAAATGTGAGATTTGATGCCTTGCCATCATGGAAATTATGTATATGTCTCACAATTGGTGTATCACTCCCTGCATTTATGGTGTAAATGTGTTGCAAGATTATACGGCTAAGCTGTTGAGTAGTTTTGCCAATATATTGGACCCCACATTTAGAATTGGCCAGATAAACAACATTCGAAGATGAGCAATTAATGAAAGTACGTATTTTAAAAAATCGGTTTAGTGATGAAAGATTTAATTTCTTTTGTAGGAGTGATGTTTTGACATGCTTTACAGGGACCACAGCGGAAAATTCGCCTTGTGCGCTGTTTGGGGCCCTCTTGGCAGTCATATATGGTTTCTTGGTTATTATTCTGTTTGTGGTGTCATCACTTTGTAGGATAGGCCTGAATTGGTTTATTATGTCCTTTACCTGTTCCCAACCTGTATCAAATCTAGTTATTCATCTTATAAGTTTATCTTCCTCTGTTTCTGGTATTGGATTGCGACATTCTTCCTCTCCATTTTTAACTCGGTTGAAGGCCCTTTTAAAAAGTCTTCCGGGAAAACCTCTCTCCAGAAAAAAATGTTTTTTTAAAGTATTGGCCTCTCTCAAAAAACCCTCATCCTTGGTGCAATTATGACGGAATACCCCTCTTAAGAGGTTCAGAATGGTGGCTTTGCCAATTCAGGAAACAGTTAGTTGCTGTTGGTTTTCTATATAATTTTGTTGTCACTTTGCCATCAGGATTGATTGAAACTGTAAGATCTAAAAATTCTAGAGATTTGTCCCCAAAAACTGATGTTAGTTTGAGCCCAATGTCATTGTGGTTCAGAGAGTCTTCCCATGTTTAAAACTGAGATTCCTGGCCTTCCCACAGACAGATCACATCATCAATAAAACAATACTAACTTTTGATATTACTTTGAAATGTTGGTTGATTGTAAATAAAAAAAAATTCACACCATGCCAGAAACAAGTTGGCATAGGTTGGGGCACAGCATGTGCCCATAGCTGTGCCCCGTATCTGAAGGTAGATCCTGCCATTGAAGGTGAAGAAATTATGTTTCAGAATGAAAGTCAATAATTCAATGGTAAAAGCACAAAGTTGGGGACGGTATGATTTTTATTCAAGCATTGAATCTTTGCAGGCATTTAAAACAATTTCATGAGGGATATTGGGAGTATAGAGAAACCACATCTAGACTTGCTAGATGTGAATTAGATGTACATATTAATTGGGTGAGTTTTTCAATTGCTGAGCTTGTGTCTTGGATGAATGAGTGTTTGTACCACAAGCGGACATAAAATTCAATCTACAAAGATACTGCACTTCTCTGTCAGTGACCCTTTTCCTGAAATTATTGGGCATCCAGGTAGATTTTGCTAATTTTTGTGGACCTTGTGTAGGCAATACATTGTAGCCATAGTGGGTTTGACTTTAAACATAAAGCGATATTCGTTACTGGGAATTAGGTTATTTTCCAGGGCTCCTGTTAGAAGTTGTCGTAGTTGGTTGACAAATTTAGATGTTGGGTCACATGTTAGTAATTCATAGCCATCTTAATCATTGAGATGTTCCATGCACATCTCTACATATTGGGCTTGGTCCATTAAAACTTTATCCAAAGATTTTATGATTAAGTTCTTATCCATTGTCAGTTCATGTAAGGCTCTTTGTTCACAATTTGCTAAATTGTCATGTTTGATGATTTGATTTTTAGTGACTTTTTTTAATTTTTTGGCAAACCAATTTGACAAACATGTTAATATGAGAGAATTCACTGAGTGAAGGGGTGAATGTGCTTGTCGGTTTTAAATTGGTTCTGGGATCAGGGCTTGTCGGTTTTAAATTGGTTCTGGGATCAGGGCTTGTCGGTTTTAAATTGGTTTTGGGATCAGGGCTATCCTGTTCATCCAATAGAGAAACCAAATCTAGCAAGCGTTGGTAGTCGGATGGGTCTAGGCCCAAGTTTCTGGTTTCTCTATCAGATTTCTTCTTGAAATAAGAGTGCCAATTTTCTACCCAATAAATGGAAATCCTTGATCTATTCAAATAAGTCAAAATCAGGAGTAGGAACAAAGGAAAGTCCAATTCCAATAATAAGGTGTGTCTTTTTTGTAAGATGAATTTAGAGATATTGATAATTTGATTCTGATCTGTAATTACTTCCTGTAACAAGAACCCCAGTTTTACAATTATAATGGCTGCATATAACTATGAACAAAGACTATTCGTTTGTTTTGCCAGTTCTACTTCTCCCTTCAAAACGTAGCCTCGTCTCCTTATTGAAAGGAAACTTGCTCAGCTTAATCGCTAGCTCTTTTAAGAGCTCTGCCTCTCTACTGCTCCAAGGATTCAGCGGATGGGATCTCGCCTCCAACGGCAGATACCCCTTGTATCAAGATTGTCATTAGACTAAAATAACTTTGTAATAATAGTTCATGCCATCTGTAATCCTATGAGCAGGAGGTATAACAGGATGTATTCCTCTTGGAACTAGTTTTAGTGATACATAGGATTCTAAACTCTTGATTTCCCACCAAGTACTACTTTGTTTTTTTATATGATTTTTTTGCACTTGAAAGAACGTTTGATTGATATTGGCTTGTGAATTTGTGACATTTATTAACAAAGGAGCCATGGGGAATACATTTGAAGTGTCCTGTTGTCATTGTTCTTTATTGACAACAGACATGAGCAGGTTCGTAATGAGGGAGCCCAGAGATATGAAAATAGATTGTACGATAATATAACACTGCTTAGCAGTTAAAATAGAACCTTTTCCTCTGTAAACTCACAATAAACGGAAATAAACATTCTAGGTAAACATAAAGGCAACATGTACACTGTTTATGGGTTTATTAGAGAATTTTAAACGTTACACAAATAGGAAATACAAACACAGGATCCCTGATTCATTTATTAAACTCCTGTAAGAGGAATCACACATATCTGCTCACCGTATAGTATGAGAGCTGCCTGCAAAGGTAACACTGTCAGCTCAGAAGCCAAACTAGGATCCTTGACAGGGATCTTCTCTCTGTACTGGAAGGGACCCTAGTCAGGCACTTCACACTGTGTGGGTCCAGTGCGCACTGTGACAGTCTCTATTCTAAACAGTGCTTGCTGTGACTGTCTAGTCTAAGCATTGCTCGCTATGACGGTCTCTAGTTTGAGCAGTGCACGCTGTGACGGTCTCTAGTCTGAGCAGTGCACACTGTGACGGTCTCTAGTCTGAGCAGGTCACGTTGTGACAGTCTCTAGTCTGAGCAGTGCACACTGTGACGGTTTCCAGTCTAAGCCGTGCATGCTGTGACGGTCTCGAGTCTGAGCAGGTCACGCTGTGACGGTCTCTGGTCTGAGCAGGTCACGCTGTGACGGTCTCTGGTCTGAGCAGTGCACGCTGTGAAGGTCTCTGGTCTGAGCAGTGCACGCTGTGAACGTCTCTGGTCTGAGCAGTGCATGCTGTGACAGTATCGAGTCTGAGCAGGTCACGCTGTGACGGTCTCTGGTCTGAGCAGGTCACGCTGTGACGGTCTCTGGTCTGAGCAGTGCACGCTGTGAAGGTCTCTGGTCTGAGCAGTGCACGCTGTGAAGGTCTCTGGTCTGAGCAGTGCATGCTGTGACAGTATCGAGTCTGAGCAGGTCACACTGTGACGGTCTCTGGTCTGAGCAGGTCACACTGTGATGGTCTCTAGTCTGAGCAGGTCACGCTGTGACGGTCTCTAGTCTGAGCAGGTCACACTGTGACAGTCTCTATTCTGAGGTCACGCTGTGACGGTCTCTAGTCTGAGCAGGTCACACTGTGACGTCTCTATTCTGAGCAGGTCACACTGTGACGGTCTCTATTCTGAGCAGGTCACGCTGTGAAGGTCTTTAGTCTGAGCTGTGACTGTCTCTAGTCTGAGCAGGTCACACTGTGACGGTCTCTATTCTAAACAGTGCTTGCTGTGACTGTCTAGTCTAAGCATTGCTCGCTATGACGGTCTCTAGTTTGAGCAGTGCACGCTGTGACGGTCTCTAGTCTGAGCAGTGCACACTGTGACGGTCTCTAGTCTGAGCAGGTCACGTTGTGACAGTCTCTAGTCTGAGCAGTGCACGCTGTGACGGTTTCCAGTCTAAGCCGTGCATGCTGTGACGGTCTCGAGTCTGAGCAGGTCACGCTGTGACGGTCTCTGGTCTGAGCAGGTCACGCTGTGACGGTCTCTGGTCTGAGCAGTGCACACTGTGAAGGTCTCTGGTCTGAGCAGTGCACGCTGTGAACGTCTCTGGTCTGAGCAGTGCATGCTGTGACTATCGAGTCTGAGCAGGTCACGACGGTCTCTGGTCTGAGCAGGTCACGCTGTGACTAGTCTGAGCAGTGCACGCTGTGAAGGTCTCTGGTCTTCCAGTCGAGTCTGAGCAGGTCACACTGTGACACGCTGTGACGGTTTCCGGTCTGTGACAGTCTCTAGTGCACGCTGTGACGGTCTCTGAGCAGGTCACACTGTGACGGTCTCTAGTGACACGCTGTGATGGTCTCTAGTCTGTGAGCAGGTGACGCTGTGACAGTCTCTATTGAGCAGGTGAGCAGGTCACAGCTGTGACGGTCTCTAGTCTGAGCAGTGCACGCTGTCGTCTGAGCTGTGACGGTCTGTTGTCTGAGCAGTGCTCGCTGTGCTGGGGACTAAAATGTAAATCCTGAAAGATGGCAGTCATAAACATATTATAAAATATATTGTACATACAGGGACTTGTGAGAAGACTCATCACTAGGGGGAGCTACTAACAAAGTAGACAATTTAGAAATGGTCTCAATTATACCTAGTGTAAAATAATTTCAAGATTTGTGAATTCTACATTAAGTGAGAAGTCCTTAGTTTATTACCTGAATCTTGCACTGGTCTTCCTTTCTCATTCACTCCTCTAAATACTGGCTTTCTTACTTAGGTGTCATTGCAGACCCGGTAGAGGGTTAGTGGGTCAGTGAGGGGGTTAACTAATAAGAATATACCTTGGGCTGTATGAAAAGTGCTGGCCAGGGTTTTTTAGTGACTAATCCTCAGAAAAGGATTAATTTGTCATGTTGTAGCGGCTACCTCAAAGCATGAAGGCATATAGGGATAAACAGTGATTGTTCCTGCAGCAATCCTGTCTCCCATTTGTGCATGATGGCTTCACAGGAACATCACAGGATTTTCGTGTAGCCAAAGATGCCCACTGGGAACTGCTTGACGTGCGTCGGCCATTGAGCTGCCAGTTGAAAGAACTTGACATCATTCCATTCCACGCCATCAATGGTCACTGAGAGGCAGAGAAAGGTTGGGGAGAGTAGAGAGAGGGGTAGGGATGTTATTATTACAATGTTAACCTAAGATAGACATAATGTAATGGTTTTGGTGCGTAGTTGTGATCCCTTTTTTTTGGACCGTTTAAAATAGTGGTAGTCAACCTGGTCCCTACCACCCACTAGTGGGTGATTCAAGCTTTCATGGTGGGTGGTGGTTGGTTTTATCCATGAGCCTTGGTTTTCCAGCAAAATGACATGCTCCACGCATGCGCACACGTCCCTTCAGCCATTGAGAGAAACCTCACAAAAGAGCCCAACACCCATGTGTGAACTATGTTTTCTAAAGTTTTCTTGATGGCTAAAAGGAAGCGTGTGTGCACGCGTCTTGGGCACCCCTGTGAAATCTCTCCCGATGACCAAAAGGAAGCGCGCACATGCGCAGAACATGCAATTATGCTTGGAATCCGAAACTTTCCATCACTCAGTGGAGGGCAAAACAAGGCTCTCAAAGGGTACATGCTTGTCTCGTTTTGTTGCATTATATGATAGTGTAATACAGTTTTGAAAGTAATAATGAGGTTGGTCTCCATGAACAATTTAAAACAGTAAAGAATGATGCCTTTTATTTGGCAGACATTTTCAAGAGATTTAATTAAATTAATTTGCAGCTTCAAGATGCTAATCTAACTCTTTAAGTTGCAAACATTTTTTGTTATCGTTCATCGAAAAGCTTGATCTTTATCTATTGTTTTGAAGAGAGAATTTAATCAGTTTCCTAAATTGTCATCTATAGAAGATGATGTAACTCCAGAGGAAATTGAAAGGTTCAGTAAATTGGATATGGAAAAACAATTTAAAAAAACTTTGAACTTCAAGGTGTATGACTGGATTAGCAAATTTCCTACGTTGATATAACTTGCCAAAAAGAACTATTAGAACTTCAATATGATGAAGAGACTAACTGTGATTTCGACAGTGGTAGATACCAAAAATAAATGCCTGCGTTATATCCAAATATGAGGAAAATGATATTCAATGGATTGATACCTTTTCCTTCCACAGATCTTGTAGAATCAGGCTTTAGTGCTGTTAATCATAGTATCACCAAACAGAGAAACCGTCTGAATATCACGGAAAGACCTTAGTTTGTTCCTTACAAAAATCCAAACAGCTATCAAATATTTAGTCTCGCAGCATCAGCCTCAAGAATCTCATTAATCATCAGTTAAAGGTAATTTCAATAAACTTTGTTTTCACATTCAACTTTCTTTTTCTTCAATTTAAGCAGCTCCCATGCAAGTAGGCACTGCATAGATGAAGATGTGGAAATTCATTCAACTTAAATTATATATGTATGAACATGAATAAAGTAGAAATAAAAAGATACATTTAAGTACATGTTTTTTGTTTAGAAACCCTCCTTTCTAAATATATGTCGCACTCTCACTAACAAAATGGAGTTACTGTATTACTGGTGGCTGGTAGGGAAATGTCACCATCAACAAAGATACATAAGTGGGTGGTAGGTATTAAAAGGTTGACTAACCCTGGTTTAAAACATTATTGTTTCTGAAAAATTTCAAAATAATATTTTCTTAAAACACAACTCTAGTGGTTATCAGACTGAAAGTTTTCATTTTTTTGATTTTGTGAAAGCCTTCACATTGGGTGTAATCATGTCCTTCAATGGACTCAATGCTTCTCAATGAGAAGTATTGGATTGGACAAGCTCTGCAATTGTTGTGCAAGTGTCATATGTTCCTAATTTTTCTTTGAGTGGAGCAGAGGTATAGGCAGATTGGGCTCCTGTGAGGACACTGTCTCGGTGCTGGATTACAGCTTGGTCTTATTATGTCTTTATTAAATCTAAACCTACTTGCCATCTTAAGGACGGGGCAATTCTCAAAGTTCTGAACCAAAACAAAACCTAACAGTTTTTGTGTTTGTTTATATAGTTTTTTTTTAAGTGACAGAAATAATCCTGTATGTGTACTTAACACAACATTAAGCATGAATAAAATGTTAAAAATAAGGAAAAAAACAACAACACATTTTTACTTATAACATTACACATTAAAGGGACACTCCAGGCACCCAGACCATTTCTGCCTATTGAAGTGGTCTGGGAGCCAACTCCAACCACCCTTAACCCTGCAAGTGTAATTATTGCAGTTTTTATAAACTGCAATGATCACCTTGCAGGGTTAAGTCCTCTTGAAGTGGCTGTCTAACAGACAGCCACTAGAGGGAGTTCCGTATTCTTAGAACACGAAAAGTGTTTTAAACGATTGCACCTGCAGTTAATTAAAAAGATTCAAAGAGCCGTGTGCAGCACTGCGTACAGCTCATGTGTCCGTCTGGGGCCACTAAATATGGCCCCAGCTGCCAGAGGGGAACCACAGGTATTGACTGATATCTTGATCTCCCTTTTGTGAGCAGGGATCAAACCCATGTTCCATGCCGACCTAATGGTGTTGAAGCCCACTCTGTGGAGGACAGCATGGAACATCCTAACATCATTAAGGGGTTAACATGTAAAATATTTACTTTAAATGTTAGTGTTCCTTTAAATAAACTCGGGTATTGATAAACTCGGTGCAATACAACATAAAGGGAAAGAGTGGAATTAATGAGAGGAAAGCCTGATTTCTATCTTTCAAATGATTTAGTGAGAGACCTTTTTCTGCCTGCTTGTTTGTCATTTATCCATTTTACCTTTGTGGTCTGCTGACTTTGTTAGGAGCCACATTCTGGGCTGCAATATTATATATGTGTACTTACACTTCCATTGTCCTCCCACAGCAGCTCGAGTTTTATCCCAGTATTGTTTTAAGGTTAAAGATTTACATTTTTTTAGATATAACTATTTGCACTTTTTAACTAGCGTGCTTCCTAATTTCCGTTGTATCCTACTCATCCTCTTAGATCTTCTGATTTCTTTCCCCTATGGAGGGATCCCATTTCCCCAGTTTCTTCTGCCATCCATTCCAGTCTTGTTTTATCTTTTATTTGACTTTCACTTTGTGATAATCTTCGCTTCTAGTGTAAAGTTGTCTGTCCAAGTTTCTTCACTGGTTCCTCTTCTACCTTGTTCTAGACTAAATCCCTGTCCTGATTATACTTCCTGCCACAATATCTCCTGATACTAATTCCTCCTGCCCTTCTGTGTTGACATCTTCCCATCTTCTTTGTGCTGGTGGATGCATCTACTGTTTACTCTGGATATGGATTGTCATTTATGTCTCAAGCCAATTAGCACCTCTTTAATTTGAGAAACCTTCAATGCTGGAAGGTGGAGAACAATTACCCTTTTAGAACGCCTTTCCTTGTACTATAGCTATTCTGGTTCAGCGTTTGTATACAAAATGTACAATCAATGCTTAACCCCTTCACAAATTGCCTTCTTACAAATACAATGACAAGCAGTGTGCGTGTGTAATTGGTTGATATCCAAATTCAGTGGCACCAAAGGTCCATAAAAATAATTGTTTCCTTGGTTCCCAAATTCTATATTCATGATTATTTAATATTGTCAAATATTAAACAAAATATTTTCAAATTTCATTATTTTACATTATTATGAACTCACTAATCTTTTTTTCAATATATGGAGTGAAAAGGACACTGCTTAAGTTTGTGTTTGATAACATCTAGTGCAGATTGCAATACAATCCAGTCATGTACAGCCTTGTTAGGTCACGTTTTGCTGACTTCCTGAGATAGAAAACAGATTTCAAAGCTGGCAGATACTACCTCTCAGCATGGTGTTCTGGTTCTTTGCTGTGCAGATTAAACGACTGATGCCCTCGATCACCTGACTGCGAGATTCCGCTTCTTTCTCCTTAGGCTTCTTACTGAGGAACATGACTGAGAGAGAGGGCAGGACGGGGCATTAGAATGGAAGGAACAAATCATGCAAGAACTCCATAACACAGAGCAGCATTAGTCACTGAGCTACAAAATGTGACTTATTTAATCCATTTTGGCCATATGAATGACTTGTCAATCACATCAGTCACCCTCAG